GAAGCAACTGGAGGTCTTACAGGAGGAGGAGAAGGAGTATCAGCACATCAAGGTACGAGCCACGGAGCCGACACCAGCGCTAACGCTAGCTAACGCTAGCTAGGAGCGTCCTGGTACGGGACGGCTGTGATTGGACCGTCAAAAGTCACAGTCAAACTTAATTAATTTGAATTGAATAATTTAGCTTACACTGCTAAATATTGCTATACGATAAAATGTGATTAGATGTGATTAATCACAAAATCCCCTAATTCATGCAATTTAAAAAAACATTACAAAAAAAGCATATCCCACAGCTATAAAAAATAAAAATATGATTAGAAGATTTCCAGGCCGCCACATGATCTTCAGCAGTGATTATATCACATGTTTTCATCCCACTTTCTTATTGGCCTGCAGTTTGGTTCTGTATAAAAAGTCACCGTGGTCAAAGCCAATCAGATGTGTCCTAATGAGCCGACGTTCACCGAAAATCTGAAAACTGACTTCAGTGCTGTTTCTTTCTGGTTTCTTTCGTTCCATTTACGTGGCGGTGAATTGATCAGATGTGCGGATGAGCCACTCGGCTTAAGCTTCTCATACGGCGGCTTTTTACTGCCAACAATTCTCGCAATAAACGGTCCGTGTGTCGTTCACCATGTTGTAGGCATTTCCTGTTAAACCCTCTCTGGCTGCGGTCGACTTTCCTTTTGTCTTGGTTATTTTTAGTGTATAGAAAATACAGAAATACGTTGTTGTTTTTGACTCCAAACTCTGAAACTGATTAAATGTAATTTTGTTTGTTTTTCATCAGACGGTTTTTACATCCCTGGATGTTTTTTTTGCCGCCGTCTCTGTAGTGGTGTAGAGGAACGACCTCAGCAGATGTCTGTTCCACCCTTGACCTGTAACTTGTCAGCCGGAGTGTAGCCCAGTCGTCGCACCGCGCTCTACGCTCAATTTACTATTTGAGAATTAACGTGCGAGGTGGCTCGCCCCGTGTCAGCTCCGACTCCCACTAAAATTTTTCAACGTCACGGAGGCAAAAAACCTCTTGTGTTCATTTGTCCTCCCGTCCAGACGGATCATCCCCCCCCCCCCCCCAATCTCACTTGGACGGAATCTTTTGATCATAGTTAATGACATCATGACTGAGGCACAAGGTGGGAGGAGGAGAGGAGGAGGAGGAGAGGAGAGACATAAAGGCCAGACGCCAACAAATCTCCCGCCTGTTGTCTCGTAATGATGAGCATAACTAGGGTCCTCTCAACTTCTCCCTCGCGTTTCCTCATTACGAGAATTCTTCCGCCGTGCTTTCTGTGCTTGACATTCACACTCATTTGTAGACAAAGAGGTGAAAACACATCTGCACACGTACGTGCTCCGACCGGACCCTGACAACAACCACAACAACACACACACACACACAGTTGTACCTGTGATATTTTACTGCATCAGTGCAGTCATACAGTGTAGTGTGAGTGTTTGGTCCAGGTCTAATTACAGTTGGTGTGTGTATATGTGTGTGTGTGTGTGTGGACTGTGCAGAAACACAAATGACAGCAGATTACCAATTATAAAACCTCTGAATTCAAAATAAATTCCCTTCTTTTATAAAATGGAAGTTCCCACGTTGACCTGGACCACGGCTAACACGGAGTAGAACGCCTGTGAATACACGTCAATACTCATGAATATGTGCTGTGCTTTTGTATTCCATGTACTATCTGTAGAAAAAAAAAATGTCAATAACCCCCCTCACCCGCCCCCCCCTCCTCTGTAAACACATTTCTTTTTTTTCCTGTCAGTATTTCACATCAACATTTCACTCTTTAAACCTTAACCATTAAAAAGATAGGCCTAATCTAATCTAATCCTAATTTTATCCTTTAATCCAAACTAACTCCTAAACCTTTAATAATCCTCCCACTCTATTGGAACCTGGAAAATATCTCAAGACCCAAGGTCTCAAGGTCTGCGTTACATTTGTTGACAGAAGGAAATACAGAGTAGAAGTTACTGAGAGGTCATTTTAGAATATTGATTTTTATTATATATATATATATATATATATATA